TGGGGTTCTTCAGCTGAAGGGTTGTGGCTGAGCTAACCGGTTACTCATGGGGAGTGTGTACCACCTCGTGGATTGCATGTGGTCACTTGCATGGCTCATATGAGATCCTCCCCTCCCTATTCGGCCCCATACCCACACTGGGGGACCTCAGCCCCAGACTGGCTGCTCACACCCCAGGCCACCACCTAGCTCCTGGCTGCTCTAGCCAGTGGGCACAGCTGGGTGTGAGCAAGTGTTTTGGGGAGGGGAGGAGCTGGGGCTGCAGGGAGAGACCAGGGACACAAATGGTCCCAACATCACTGACTGCAATAATCATAGCATCAGACTTCCAAAGTGCCTACCGTGTGCCTATTCTTTGCCCCTCACACCCTGGGAGACTGTGCAACCCCTCCCAGACCTCTGCAGAGGTGTGCCCGGGCCACACCCACAATAACTTACTGTCTTAGGGGAATTCCCTCCTCTCTGCTCAGGTTCTGTGCCTTGGAATCTTGGGTGTCCCTCAGTTTATGATGGGTGTCCATCCATGTGGACCTGGGAAGTGAGTCCACAGGGGCCTTGGTGCAGCCAGATCCTCTTCCTGTTTTGGAACTGATCCCTTCTACCTTGGGGGCCTCCCAAATTGTTCAGGGCGCCCTCAAAGTGCTCATGGGTTCTGTGCAGCTCCTCTGTGTTGGTGCTTCTAAGAAATGATGAATGACCACCTCCTGGTGGCAGGGACTGTTGTAGGGTGCTGGGCTACCAGGGTGACCAAGGCAGGCCCAATCTTGTCTTCACTGAGCTCATGGTTTGTAGGGGCCATAGCCAATAAAACACAAAGACAAATAAATTGATATATAACTTCAAAGAGTGGTAAATGCTTTCAGGAAAAATTTAAAAATGGAGAAAAACTGGGTATCTCCCAGGGCCACATCTGCCTCATCACCCCCCATTCCTGCATCTGCCTCCTCTTCAGGTGTGGACATTGAGCGTCCCTGTGGCCACATAGCACAGCACCTGTCCTGCATGCTCAATACTTTCTGCCATCAGATGCCAAGTCCAGACCTCTTCCTCCACCTTAGCTGCCAGCCTGACCCATATCCTCTAGCCAGTGGCCAAGGGCTACGTTACTGCCCAGAGGCACTGAGGGAAGATGCCCATTTGTCTGGACTTGGCCTTGGCCTCCAACAGGCTGAGGAGATTCTCCCTTGGTTGGGGAATGGAGCAGGGATAAAACTCTGTGTTCTCACCAAGGATGTGTGGGGGCTGGACAGTGCGACCTTGGCCGAGACCTGATCTCAGACACTCTGGCCTGGGCTGTGCAAATCAAAAGGTCATTGTCAGCCCAGTGTGGATTCCAAACAGGCCAGCTGCCAGTGGCCTCTTGCTCCCTAGCCTGGTGTGTCTCCCCACCCCAGAGGCCATGTGCTGGGTGACCTCAAGCAAATCACTGGTCCTCTCTGGGGAGCCTCTGCCTTCCCATTAAAGTCTTTTCCATTTGTACTTTCTTCTCTACCCTGACCCAGCCTCAGCCTTACCTGCTACTCTCAGCTCAAACACCCACCATGACTCCCCATGGCCCTTGCTTACCATTCCAGGCTTCTCTCTCCCCCGACCCCACAGGAAAATTGGCAGTAATAATTGATTGTGATCAGAGCTGTGATGAACACCCCAAGGCCATACCTGTCCCAGCCTGGGAGAGACCAAGAAAGACTTTTCAGAGGAACAGGACATTTAAATTGAGACTTGGGAGTTGGACTGAACCATGGGGAAGAGGGGGTTGGGAACAAATGCACAGTAATGGGATGTTTATGCTCTAAGTAAGAGAAAGCCCAACTCAACCAGAGACATCTGATCCTAATCCCTGGACCCTGTAACCATGTCACCTTCGATGGCAGAGACACTTTGCATTTTAAGGACCTTCAGATGGGGAGACAATCCTGGATTCCCTGGTGAGCCCAGTGTCATCACAGGATCCTTAAAAGTTGAGACAAGCCCTAGCCCGTTTGGCTCAGTGGATAGAGCATTGGCCTGCGGACTGAAGGGTCCCAGGTTCGATTCTGGTCAAGGGCATGTACCTTGGTTGTGGGCACATCCCCGGTGGGAGGTGTGCAGGAGGCAGCTGATGGATGTTTCTCTCTCATCGATGTTTCTAACTTTCTATCCCTCTCCCTTCCTCTCTGTAAAAAATCAATAAAAATATATTTAAAAAAAAAAAAGTTGAGACAAAAAAAAAGTGAACACCTTTCCCTCTGTATTCAGAGAGATGCTACATAAGAAGGACATGACCTGCCCTAGCCTGTTTGGCTCAGTGGATAGAGCGTCAGCCTGTGGACTGAATGGTCCCAGGTTCGATTCTGGCCAAGGGCACATACCTGGGTTGTGGGCTCAATCCCCAGTAGGGGGCGTGTAGGAGGCAGCCGATCAATGATTCTCTCTCATCATTAATGTTTCTATCTCTCTCTCCCTCTTCCTTCCTCTCTGAAATCAATAAAGAAATATATATATATATTTTAAAAAAGGACATGACCTGCCATTGCTGGCTGTGAAGATAGAGGAAGGGGCCAAGAGCAAGGAATGTGGGCAAGTTCTAGAAGCTAAAAAGGGTTGGAAATAGATTCTTCCCTGGAGCCTATGGGAAGGAATGCAACTCTGCTGATACCTTGATTTTAGCTCTGCAAAAACCATGTTGAACTTCTGACCTCCAGAACTGGAAGAGAAAGACTTGTGGTTTTTTATGCCACCAAGTAAGTGGTGGTGATTTGTTACAGCAGCAATAGGCCAATACAGGTGGACCTTTGGGTTCAGTGTGTTGACACAATGATACAGTCCCTGCCAGGCTGGAAACAAACAAGGGAGTGAACAAGGTGTGAAGACAGGTGGCAATATGGAGACTCTGGGAACAGGAAGGTTGTGGAGTCTCTGAAGAGGTGACCCTGAGGCCTGGAGGTGTCTGTAGAAGCCCAGTCCAGACTGTGCCACCTTGGCCAGGCCCACAACCTTTTGGTGTACAGGACAATGCTCCAACCAACTGAGCCACCCAGCCAGGGCCTGAACTCGTAGTTTTAGAACATGGAAACCTGTGTTCTTGTTCCCACTGCATGGCCAGAGCTTTGATGGGTCTGGCACCCAGCAGGTACTCATTAATGTTTAGTTACTCAAGACTCTTGACCATGCACTGTATGTTGGGTGTTGGCCTCACATATTGGGAGACACCATTGCTAACTCCCGGGTTAGGGGATGGCTGTAGTGGAAGAGATCAGGGTGCTGAGCAGCAGGATGCATTGGGGGATGGGGCTCCCCCATGAAGGGGTGGGGACAATCTCCTGAGAAGCAGAAAAAGAGAAGGGACAGTGGAAAGGGCACTCCCAACAGAAGGCATGCCCATGCAAAGGCCTTGAGGTGAGAGCCAGCTGGGCGTACCCCAAAGGGGCCAATGAGGCTGAGCTGGAGAGGGGATGGGTGAGAGGCAGATGACCCCAGGGCAGGCAGCAGGGCCCACTGAAGACCAAGGAGGTGCTGTGGCTACCCACGTGTGTCCTAAGTCTCATCTAAGCTCTGGGAGGCAGTTTCTGCCACCTGCCCAGAGAGGTTAAGCAACTTGTCCAGGGTCACACAGCCAGTGTGGTTTGTGAGATTTGAACATGAGCCTACTGGCTCCAAGGCCTCTTGGGTGGTACTTCATACACTTCTGCAGAATTAAAGAATGAATGTCGGCGGGTGAAGTGAGCCAGTAGCTGGGCATGAGAGGTCTCTTGGGCAAAGGATCTACTCCTCCCTGGATCTGAGTTCCTGGATTCCCAGTGATGGGGCCAGTGCGCACTCTGGTGGTCAGAACAAGAATCGCCCCTGAGCCTTGCGGGAGACAAGACGCTGGCAGACAAATCCCTCTCCTTAGCCTCTTGACATTCAAGACCTTTTTAAAAATATATATATATATTTTATTGATTTTTTACAGAGAGGAAGGGAGAGATATAGAGAGTCAGAAACATCGATGAGAGAGAAACATCAATCAGCTGACTCCTGCACACTTCCCACTGGGGATGTGCCCGCAACCAAGGTACATGCCCTTGACCAGAATCGAACCTGGGACCTCTCAGTCCGCAGGCCATCGTTCCATCTACTGAGCCAAATCGGTCAGGGCCACTCAAGACCGTTTACACATGAGCGGCACTTTTTATTTCCTCAACACCCTGGCTAATGCCCTCTCCCCTCGGAAGCTCTGACAGTGTCCCCAGGAAGAGCCAGGGCCACCTTAGGGTTCCATCCTCTGGCTCAACCTTAAGCAACTAGCGGTGTCTGAACCCATCTGTGTTTGCTCCAGCCAGAGAGTAGTATTTCAGACCACCCTTTTCACTGTCGTTTCCCATGCTGTGTCCTTGCAGCCAGGTGCTCAATGGATATTTGTTGAGTAGAGAAAGAAAGAAATGCATGATTGGGCCGGGACCTCCTTTGATCCAGGAATGGGTCTCTTGTCTTTATTCATTCAACAGTTGTTTAGGGAATGCCCGTGTGCCAGGCACTGTTATGAGTCTACTCTAGCCGGAAACAAAATACAAACATCTCATCTGCTGTGGAGCTGACCCAACAGTTTATTAGGTGAAAATAGTGCTAGTGAGGAGGGCATCTCAATAGATTAGACATTTTGAAAGAATTGAAAGACATGAGGAAGAACGCCCCCGTGTCTAGGAGAACGGTGCACCCAGCAGAAGCACAGCCAGTGCAAGGGCCCGGAGGTGAGAGAGCGCCTGTTGCGTTCCAGGAGCAATCAGGACGGTGAGGGGAGATAGCGGGACTTGAGGTCGGAACAATCGTGAGGGGCAGTGGGGAGCTTTTGCAGGTTAGGTCTGGAGAAGAAGCTCGACCTCGCCCCGTTCAGGCCCGCCCCTCTGTCCAACGCCGAGCTCGGGAGGCTCCTGCACCTAGTTTGCCCCTCGGCGGCCACCGTCGACCGGGCCACCGCCCGCTGTGCGCGCCGCCAGACCGGCTCCCGCGCTCTCCACTCCGCCCCGTGCGCCGTGCGTGCCGTGCGTGAGCGTGCGCGGGCTCGTCGGCCGGCGAAAGAGCAGCAAACGGCCGGCGGCGGACGCCGCGCGGTGGGCGGGCGGCGCGGAGGAGGCGGCGGCGGCCATGGCTGAGGCGTCGCCGCAGCCCGGACGGTACTTTTGCCACTGCTGCTCGGTCGAGATCGTGCCGCGTCTGCCGGTGAGCCCCGAGCCGGGCGTTGGGCGGCGGGCTCTCTCCTGCGTCCTGCGGCGAGCTGGCCCAGACGAGGAAACTGAGCCCCGGCGGCGGCGGTATGGGCCCTGCGGGGGTTTCCGAGGCGGGGCCTGTCCCCGGTGGCGCCGCGGGGCCGGTGATCCCGATCCGCGGCCTCCCGCCCCGGGAGGCCGCTGGGTCCCCGACGGGGAAACGGAGGTTCGTAGAGGCCGCGTGACCTGCTCCGGCGCGCCGCCCAGGAGGAAGCGGGGCCTCGGAGGAAAGGTGACCGGGGGCCGTTCCCGGAGCGCGTCGGCGGCGCCGCGCCTCGCCGTGGGCCGCCGGGTGGAAGCCCCCCACCTGCGCTCCGCCGTCGGGACGAGCGGCTGTGGCCCCGCGCCGGTCTGACAGCTGGCCCGCGCCCGCGATCCTGCGCTCCCTTGGGGCTTGAGGCCACCCAGCGTCTGGCTCTTTGAGGCCGGATTTCCCAAGGTGGCCTGGTCGCGCCGTGTGGTCCAGGAGGGGGCTGCTGGATACAGACAGTTTTCCAGGCCCCTCAGCCCGGAGATTCTGAGTCAGTAGGTTCCCCTGCTCTTGGCTGACCCGGTCCCATTTCACAGGTGGAAAAACAGGCCCTCGGCGGCCCATGCCGGCCACGGACCTGACATTCGCTGCTGGGCCAGTTCCCCGGGAGCGGGCGTGGGATCTGGAAGTGGCCAGGGTTTACCGAGCATCTACAGGGTGCGCTCCTTGGGCTCCATCTCCCCACCGTCACCTGGCTGGTGGGTGGAAGAGCCTGTTTTGATTTCAAAGCCACACTTAGTCCTTCCTTTCCAGCTCCTGGGAGGGGGCCAGGAAGAGCCAGGAGAAGGAGTCTGTTCAGATGATCCCAGCCAGAGAAGACGAGGAACTGGAGCCGGGGTTTGGAGAGTGGTGCCTAGGGTCCAGGAGGAGAGAGGGAGTAGGAGTGGTGTGGCTTCCAGAAGCAAGGGCCTTCCTCCCCTTCCTAGGGAAAGGGGAAAATAGAATGAAACTGAAACCTCGGGTGGGTGAGCACAGACTTGGGGAGTCTTGCTTCTGTCTCTTCTGGCCTCCTGCGCCCCAGCTCTTGGTTCTTTCCTTCTCCACTGTGGCAGGAAGGGGCTGGCCGCTTGACAGCCCACCGACCTGGATGGGTTGGATGCAGTCCCTCACAGTTGGTGTGAGCCCCAGGGTAGGCCCTGGGTGGAGGTTGAGGCTGAGGCTGCAGCTGGGCATCTCTGCACAGTTAGCTGTCCTCGGTTTTCCCATCCTGGGGCCAGCACAGGGCCTGGGTCCTGGCCTGGCCTGGCCACTTCCTGGCTATATGGCCTTGGACCAGGCAGACTCTGACCTCTTCTGGGCTGGTGAGGACCTTCCTAGTCACAGAACCCAGTGGTGTCAAGATAGCCATCACCTTTGCCCTCAGGGTTTATAAACTGGTTGGTCGGGGAGCCAACCTTGAACACTGATTGTCAAGTATTTAGTCAGGAATGTTGGTAAATATCCTAAGAGCAAGTATGGCGGGGAGGGGGTACCTGGGTGGGTGGGGGGGTGCTTGGTGTGGGATGCAATGAGGCTCAGTAGACAGGGGGGTGTTTATCACTAAGGGGAACACCTGGTGTTCTTAGGGAGGGAAAGTTGGTTCTTGGTAACAGCAGAAGGTCCCAGCCAGCACTCGCCCTCAGAAACGGGGACTTCTGTTTGTGGGAAACTAGCCCCACTGTGTCTGCTGTAAGACACTTGGGCTGGTTTTTATGCAGCTCCTACTGCAGTAGTGACAGGAAATGGCTGTTGTCACAGTAGCTCTTTCTCAGGTACCCTGGACTCATGGGCTTCTCTCTATCAGCTGGGCTCGAATCTAGGATCCTGCTGAGGCTGCACCAGCTGCACCTCTTCTCCGCTGTGTGTGGGTGAGGTGTTCAACCTCCCTGGGCCTCAGGTCTCCTCGCTGTCTGATGGGTTTGATGAGATAATCCACACTCGCTCGATGAGGTCCACTGGGAGTATCTTTGTACAAAGGAGCCCAGCACCTGACTCCCAGACGCAAAGGGAAAGGTGGGTCGCCTAGCTGGAGTGTGGCATGTGAGAGCAGGAACCAGACAGGCCAGCCGGCTTGGAGGCCGTGAGGCTGATGCACAGGCCCAGACTCGATCCTTACGTGGAAATGAGTGCTGGGGACGTGGTGCATGTGCATGACTGCAGGGGCCTGGATGTGGACCTGCTGCGCCTGACATCCTTGGGGCTTGTGCAGAGGTCAGTTCTTCAGTGCAGGTTCTTGCACACCAGTTGTGTCCGTGGGAGATGGGAGTCTCAGTCCCTATGATGGTGTCAAAAGCAGCCTGGGAAGATTTAGGAGGGTTGGGTTAGGTAGGTGCCCCTGAATTAAACCATCTGCTGAGGTCTGTGTGTCTGTGATGGGTGTGTGGCTGGCGTGAAGTGGGCCTTAGATGATGCCAGGTCCTGGTAGGGCTCACGGAGACAGATGGGGCATGACTGGGGTGTGAGGGACAGGGATGGGATTGGGACAGTTCTCCCAGTGACATTGAGGCGGTTTACATGGGGTGGAAGGAGCAGCAAGTGCACCCAGGGGTTTGGGCTGTAGAGGTCTCATTTTGTCTGTGTTTGGGTCTGAGCCCATGTACCCCTGCTACACCCCTGCACCAGCCCTCTTGGGTCTGTGCTGCACCTGGAGCTCTGCTGATTCCCGAGGGACCCTGGGAGGCCTGGGCCACTAAGCCACTGTCACTGTAGTGGGCAATCATATGAGACAGGCATCTCTCCAGCTCTTGCCTCAGTTTCCCCAACTTCACTGTGGGCCCTCTGCTTATGTGTGATGTGAAGAAGTCTTGGACAAAGGATGGTGCCTATCCTGAGGGCTGGTCCAGGGGACATGGGTCCCCATGTTAAAGCCCACGTGTCCTTCCGGTCACCAACGAGGGGCCAAATACCGTAGTACCTTCTGACCATGTCCTAGGGGCCCAGTGTATGGAGTGAGTGCTCAGTGCATTTAGCATCTGTGTGTCATCCTTGGTGCGCTGGCCACTGCTGTTGCTATGGTGATGATGCTGGGGTGGTCCCCTGTTACCCTTCCTCTGAGGGGAAAAGTAACTAATTCATGACAAGTCATTGGCTAAGGATAGGTGCTCACAAGTTAGTTCCCGCAAGCGGACTGTTGTCCCCATCTAGAAGAGGAGCACTTGCCACCTTGGCCCTGTCACTGGAGATAAGTTCTGCCCTGTGGGAGAGATAGATTCCATCTCACAGTCCCCTTGCTGGGATGTGGGTTTCTACCATTGGCCACTCTGATTTAATAAAAACCTCTGGGATATGCTCTCTGAGGAGGAGAGCATGGGAGACTCCTGGTTCTGGCTCCTTCCCACTGCCTGCAAGCAGGCTAGAGCCCTGCCTCAAGACCGGGGCAGCCTATGGCTCAGAAGGGCCGCTCTGGACTCTGGACAGAGGCAGGGCCTGACCATGACCCAATGTCAAACCACAGCCCTTGGGTCCTCAGCTGCTGGATTTCAGAGCCCTGGGGTTGAGGCCATCCTCCGTTTACAGGTGAGGAGACCGAGGATTGCAGCCGGGAGGTGACGTTTGAGCAGAGACCCAGCTTCCGTGAGGGGGCCAGCCAGGTAGATATATGGGAAAGAGTGCTCCTCCAGAGGGGATGGTGTGTAGGACTTGAGATGGGCAGGACCAGCGTGAGGCTGCCAGGGTGAGAGGGCAAGGGGGAGGGCAGAGGTAGCCTGGACTTGGGTCTGGAGGGGGCGGAGCTGTGGGAGTGGCCTGGCCAGATGGTTCTGGACCTAACCATGTGCTGACTGTGCGTAGTGCTGAGATGGGGCTCCATGGTGACCTGCACAGAGTGGTTGGTTCAGGGGGGTGCTGGGACCTTGGAGGACAAGGACAATGGGACAGGCTAAGAGAAGTGAGCGCCCAGGAGCTGCAATGAGCCTTAAAAGTGGGAAAATAGGTTGCCCATTTCCCGCAGGTCAACCTGATGTTCGTTCTGAGGCCACATGGCACATCTACAAGTCTGGGGTGAGGACTGTACTAGGATTGGGACCTTCCTGTGAACCTGGAGCTGAGGGGTTCCCTGGGCAGACTCCTGGTGATGGGCAGGTTTGTCTGACCTTGCCATGTTCGTGGGGTGTCTGGTTCCCTGCATCCTAACTGTGGCCAATGCAGACCCCCCTGCAGCCACATTTCCCCGTGGGCCTGTTCACCAAGCCTCCTGTAGCTCATGTGAAACCTTGAAGCAAACAGCAGGCTGAGGGCTGGCAGGTGGGTGCTAGGAGGAGCACCTGAGTGTCACTCCACTGGCTGGGAACCCCGTGTTGGGGTGTGATTGTGGTGGTCACTCGCTGCCCTCACACCCCTTCTCAGGAGGGCAGAGGGCTGCTCTCCTCGCCATTTCTTATAGCAATTTACTGAGATGTGACTCATTTAGAATGTACACTTCAGTGTGGTTAGTATACCCGGAGTCCTGCACCAAACCCCTCCATCCAATTTCTGAATATTCCATCGCCCCAAAAGAAACCTGTCCTCATCAACAGTCACCTCATCTCCCTCCCCTGACAACCACCAACCCACTTCCTGTCCCTGTGGATTTGCCTGTTTTGGAGAGAGCGCATAGATGGAATCATGCTCTGTGTGTAGCCTTTTGTAGCTTCTCCCACTGAGCTTCCTGTGTTCAGGGTCCCATTTGTGTTATAGCGAGTGTCAGTGCATCGCTCCTTTTCATGGCTGAGTCATGTTCCAGGACGAGGATGACCACATTCAAGCGTTGATGGACACTTGGGTTGTTGTGGCCCACATTGTGACTCGAGACATGGACATGGTTGGATAGGATTCTTTGTAGGTGTGTTTTTATTTCTCTGGTTGGACACCTAGCAGTGGCATTTCAAGGTCATGTGCTAACTGACCTTCAGAGGAACTGCTCACTGTGTTATAGAGAGACTGCCCGTTGCACATCCCAATAGCATGTTAGAGGTTCTGATTCCTCCATGTCCTCGCCAGCACTTGTCACTGTCGTCTGTTTGAGTGTAGTCCTCCCATGGGTGTGCAGTTTGTCTCACTGGTTGTGACCTGCATTTCCCTGTTACTGTGGTGTCAAGCCTCTTTTTATGGGAAATGGCCATTTGTGTATCTGAAGAAATGATCCTTTGGTCATTTTTTAACTGGGTTGTTTGTCTTTTTAATGTTGAATTATAAGGAATCTTTATATATTTTGGATACAAGGCCCAATGACCTGTGCAGCTCCCACCTGCCCTCCCCACTTGGCTCTGGCAGCTTTGCTTTTGGCAGCCAGGCAGGTGAGAGGGACCAGGTGTGCGCTGTGGAGTGCCCGCTGCCCAGATGAAGGTGTCCGGCAACCCACCATGGGGCTACTCCTACAGAAGGCAGTGTCCCATGGGACGGTAAACAGCCTCACCTTCTCTCACAGCACATGGGCCGTGCTTCTGAAATGTCACCTTGGGCAGAAGCAGGTCTTGCACACGTCTTGTGTCCTGTCTGTGGCTTTAGGGACACCTGTGATAACCCTGAAATCTGCACACACGCAACAGGCACGATGTAGGCTGGGCTTGCTTGAGGGACATCAGCATGGTTTCCGGGCTCATACACATTGTGCTTGAGGCTGGTCCTTGCTCTCCCCTCAGGACATCACAGTCTCTGCCACCTGGCTGCGGGAGGGAGGGATGCAGGGGGCGTGGCCAGTGTGATGGGGTCACATTCCAGCTTAGGGTCACAGATCCTCTGCCAGGGCTGCCAGTATGTTCCAGAAATGCCATTGTGGGGCATCCACAGGCCGGTCCCTCTGCTGTCAGTGGCCACTTTTCCTGGGAGCTGACCTCCTCTGAGGCCCACATAGCCCTGGAGTCCCATACACAGTCCCTTGTGCAGCCATCTAGGAGTATAGGGTCAGGCGCCTGCCCAGGACCACATCTCCTTTATGTGCGTTTAGGAGGGTCACTCGAACATTCTCTTGAACAGCTTTACTGGACCCGCATTAGCTGGCCCGTGGTTGCTACAGGCCTTGTCAGAGCCTTCATCAGCTAATATGCTGAGTGGACACACTGAAACTCTGTGACTGGGATGTGGGTGGGTGGGGAGATCACCTGCAGAGGAGCAGGTCAAGATACAGAGGTTGTAGCTCTGGTTGATGTGTGCCCTGAGCTGTCCATACCCACCACCTGGATCTCTGCTGGGTCTGACCCTGGACTGCAACAGTTTCACAGATGGGTTTCTTGAGATGACACCCATCCTGGGCCTCACTCCTATCCTCTTCTTGCTGGGGCCTGAGACCAGGGCCCAAGGTGTGTCCTGCCCCGGGCAGGGATGTCCAGTGAGCCCACAGAGGCAGATGACATGGGGGCCAGGATCCTGAGATTACACTCACCTGCTCTCTCCTCCCACAGGATTACATCTGCCCACGATGTGAGTCTGGTTTCATCGAGGAGCTTCCGGAAGAAACCAGGTAATGCAGCCCCTTGGTCACAGAGGTCTCGGGCCCAGGTGCATGCTGGTAGGATCCAGGCTTCTGGGGTGAGAGGGCAGAGCTGTGCCAAGGGGACACAGTGCTGGTTCAGAGCCATTTTGGTGGACAGAGCCTGGGAGGGTGATGGTGGGCAGGGGGTGGGCTTGGGGCAGTGCCCTGAAGTCCCTGGGCAGCCAGAGATTAAGATGGTCTTCACTCTCCTGACTTGGGATGAGGGCAGGGGCTGCTGAGGGTGGAGAGTGACCCTGAGGCCCATGGGGGTCAGGCGGGGGTCCTGCCTCTTCTCCAGCGGGTCGCCCCACTGCTGACTTGCACCGTGTCCACCCAGGAGTACAGAGAACGGTTCCGCTCCCTCCACAGCCCCCACAGACCAAAGCAGGCAGCCATTTGAGGTGAGTTGACTGGCCTCCCCTGACAACGGATCATGCCCTGCATGGCTGAGGAAACAGACTCAGCCCCTCGTCCTGCAGGTGGTTGCTCACCCTGCTCCCCAACAGGCAGGGTTGTCCTTCTCCCTGACTCCCGGGGCCTTTTTTTTTTTTAACTTAAAAAATAATTTTTTAAAATTGACTTGAGAGAGAGAAGAAGGGGGATGGATAGAAAGAGAAGCATCAACTTGTTTTTCCTCTTAGTTATGCATTTATTGGTTGATAGTTGTATGTGCTATGACCATGGATCAAACCTGAAACCTTGGTGTATCAGGATGATACTCTAACCAACTGAGTATCTGGCCAGAGCCCTGGGACCTCTTGAACTCCCCATCCTTGGCCCCTCCTCCGAGAGCCTCCTGCATCCTGCATGTGCCCCAAGATTCCTCTGGCGTCTTCCTGTCCCCTTGAAGCCCTGAGCCGAGAACAGTAGCCACAGTGGGGAGGAACTATGCGCCCATGCAAGGGGCCCACGGTCACGGCCTTCCTCCCGCAGAATGTGGACCAACACCTCTTCACGCTGCCGCAGGGCTACGGGCAGTTTGCTTTCGGCATCTTTGACGACAGCTTTGAGATCCCCACGTTCCCCCCAGGGGCGCTGGCCGACAATGGCAGGGACCCCGAGAGCCGGCGGGAGAGAGAGCAGCAGTCCCGGCACCGGTATGGCGCCCGGCAGCCCCGAGCCCGCCTCACTGCAAGGAGGGCCACCGGCCGGCACGAAGGCGTCCCCACGTTGGAAGGGTGAGGGGGCTGTGGGGGCAGGTGGGTGGGTTGCTCTTGGGGGCTTCCAGCCTGCCCACCCCGCTCAGACCATCTGCCCGTCCAGAAGATGGTGTGGATGTTGCCTCTGGGCAGGGCAGTTCTCCCATGAGTTCTGGCAGAGCCACCCAAGCCCACCATGCAAAATGGGGTGGTGCAGGTAGGGGTCGGGCCCTCGCTAGGGGACTGGGGGGGCTGAAGTGTGGCTCAAGGACCTGGACAGGACTGGGAGAACCTTGTGTCCACTGAGTGTCCCCATTGTCCTCTGAGCAGGGCTTCATTGGGTGTGGCTGATTCACCTTCAGGTCTTTGTCCCAGAGCAGCATCGAGCTGGTAGTTCCTGATATCCCTGCCCTGTAACAGGGCCCCTTGCCCCCTTCTCTGTGCAGGTACCCAAACGGCTTTTTGGCTTGATGACTGCACAGGAAGGGGAAAGGCACTCAGAAGGACTGAGAATAAAAACATTGTTCCTTGCAGGCCCCATCTCTCCAGAGGAGGCGAGGCTAGGCTTCTCACACATCTCTGAGATAGACTTGATTGTACATGAAGCCCCGTGTCACTTAAAATGGGTTTAACCCTACATAGAGCCCATCCGTTTCCCTCACTGAGCTGGAGGCATTTCTAGCTCGGCCCAGCCAGTCCCTGATGCCCCTGCTGTCTCATGTCTGAGCAGCACCCACACCCCACAGACCTTGAGCTCTGGAGACAGGATCTGGACTGGATGTTTTGGGCCTGCTGCACACAGCAGGGTTGACCCCATGGCTCTCATGACCTCCAGGGTGTTCCCCCAGGTTGTGTAATGGGGGTTGGATGTGGTGTCACAGCCATAGGTGCCATCCGGGCCTTGGGAAAACCTGGCCTGGAACTCGGTGAGGGAGATGCTTCTCTGGGTCCCTCTCATGTTTCATTCTTCCTCATCAGAAATCTTACTGGTTGAAAGCACAACCTTTCAATGTTGTGGATTTAGAAGCTGGGCTCCAGGGTTCTGTGTCCTCCCCAAGGGGGCCCTGACCCTGGGAAGGCACTGACCACAGGCCTGGCCTTGCTCTGTTCCAGGATCATCCAGCAGCTGGTCAATGGCATCATCACTCCAGCCACAATCCCCAACCTGGGCCTGGGCCCCTGGTGAGTAGGTGGGCGGGTCCCCTAAATGCCCCCCAGCCCCTCTGCCACTTGAACCCCACACGTCTCTGCCCAGGGGTGTCCTGCACTCAAACCCGATGGACTACGCCTGGGGGGCCAACGGGCTGGATGCGATCATCACGCAGGTACAGGGTGGGCCTCCCCAGGTGGCACTAGGGTCATCACCATCGTTTCAACAGGCCCATTCCCCCCAGCCCCCAGCACTGAGAGGGTGAGAGGATTGTAGGAGTGTTCTGGTGGATTACATCCCTGGCGCGGACGCTCAGTTTCTGAGCGCCCAGAACTTCCCTCCTGAGGCTAGGGCACACCAGCCAAAATGCTCCTCCTGGCCTGGCACCACTGTAGAGCAGGAAACCGCGTGCCAAGGATGGGTGTTCACCATGACCTCTGTGGCACTTGTGAGGCAGGAACATTGCCACTCTCAGGGCTGCTCACCAGTGCCCCCTTTGAGTATTTTGTCTCTGACGGGATCTGGCCCTCTGGTTCTAGCTGATGCCTCACAGGACACAGGACCACATGAGCCCCAGGGCCCTGTCTTCCTGCTCTGGCTGTGAGGTGACACTAACTAGATGAGCAGAAGAGTGGGCAGGAGCCGGTGGCTGGGCCTCATGGGGTGACTGACCTCTAACCCCTAAATGGAGGGTCTGGGGGACCAGGACAAAAGTGGCCTCAGTGCTTTTGCAGGTAACCTAGCCTTGCATTTCAGAGTCGGGCAGGGCTCCTGCACTCTGGCCTCTTGTCTTTCAGCTCCTCAATCAGTTTGAAAACACAGGCCCCCCACCCGCAGACAAAGAGAAAATCCAGGCCCTCCCCACCGTCACTGTCACCGAGGAACACGTAGGTACGTGGCCCTCAGTCACCCAGCTTCTTTTGTTTTCAAGGTATTTTCCCTAGGACTTCTATGTGAGACCAAAGGTCGGTTTGAAGGGGAGGCTTTATCAGTGTCTTCTCTGTTCCCCTGGGACACAGGACTCAGGACATAGCCTCTTTCCCTCCCCTGGGTCCAAGGTGGCTCTGGATGGGCAGTCTCCCCAATGGGACACCTTTGATTGGATGTGTCACGGGATCCCCGCTCCCCGCAGGCTCTGGGCTGGAGTGCCCTGTGTGCAAAGACGACTACGAGCTGGGTGAGCGTGTGCGGCAGCTGCCCTGCAACCACCTCTTCCATGACGGCTGCATTGTGCCCTGGCTGGAGCAGGTGAGCAGGTGGGTGGCCATGGCCACAGGCCCTCTCCACCCCTGCCCCCTGCCAGCCTCTGAATTGCTTCCCTCTCTCCCCACAAAGCATGACAGCTGCCCTGTCTGCCGAAAAAGCCTCACAGGACAGAACACGGCCACCAACCCCCCAGTCATGACCCCCGTGAACTTCTCATCATCATCATCGTCCTCCTCCTCCAGCTCGCCCAGCAATGAGAACCCAGCAAGCAACTCCTGAGTCCCCCCACCAGTCCCCAGAGTAAGCACAGGACCCCGGCCAGCACCAGGCCCTGTGGGCAGGGGGGACATGGACATCCCAGAGCCCAGGAGGTGCCCCCCACCTGCCTCAGCTCTCACACCACCATGGCTCCCATGGACTCCGGTGCCAGCTGTGCCCCCAGCTGTGGGCAGAGGCTCGGAGGACCCACTGCCTCCAGGCTGTGGAGGAAGCCCGGCCCTCCCCCAGGGATGTCCCTTGAGGGGCTGGGCACAGAGGGACGCAGGGCATATGTCGCCCTCAGGCGTCCCCAATATCCCCTGTCCCATTTGTCTCTAACCTCACCCTCTACATGTTCAACAGTGGAAAGGTTTTTATAATTTTAAATTATTACTGCTTTGAAATAAATGGACGTTAGCTCACATGCGGCCCTGCATGATCTGTGGAAAGATGGGGTAGAGCCACTCAGCTGGGGTCTTGGCCCCACCAGACAGGCCAACAGTCCCCACCTTGAGTGCAGGGGGCTCGGGACCACAAGAATGACCAGCAAAACAGAACTAAACTGCTCTGACAGATGTTTTTTAAAGGAAAAAATATGTGTATCTTGGAAGTTATTTAAAAATACACCTACTTAAAGAAGCAGGTGGTTGGCGTTTTCCTTCTGCGCCGGACCCTGGGTTGTGCCTCTTGGGCACCAGCCAACACCGCTGTCCCAAACCAGAACCCTGGAAGTGGACTGGTGACGTTCGACCAGCAGGTGCAGAGGGTCACTGCGTTGGAAACATGAAACAGGAAACCCCAATGTGCTGAGCTGTCAGGCGGGCCTCCCCAGCCCGTGCTTACTGCAGCCGATGGTGTTCATGTACGAAGGCTGTTCTGGAGTGAGGGTCACCAGGGTGAAACCACTGGCCCTGACCACAGTGAGTGTCCACTCTGTACTATCCCTCCCCCCCCCAGTAAGTGACCCCGGCTTTGTGTTCTGTATGTTAAGTGGCAGGAGGCTGGGATGGGTGGGAGCCCTCACCCCACTCCCCAGGGATTACCTGCCCCAAGCAGAACGTCCCACCTTAGTTTAGGAGGAGCTCCCACGTTAGCCCCCCTTCCCCCTTAAAACCCCATGGGGTAAATGGCATCATCATTCTCACTTTATATTTTTTGAAATATATTTTTATTAATTTCAGAGAGGAAGGGAGAGGGAGAGATAGAAACCTCAATAATGAGAATCCTCATTCGGCTGCCTCTTGCATGCCCCCTACTGGGGATCAAGCCTGCAACCCTGGCATGTGCCCTGACCTGGAATCAAACTGTAACTTCCTGGTTCATAGGTGGACGCTCAACCACTGAGCCACACCAGTTGGGCAATCATTATTCTCACTTTATAGGAGAGAAACTGAGGCCCAGAATGGAATTACCTGGCCCAAGGCTCCAGAACTCAGCCCTGTGGTGGGGGGTTTCTGGGGTTCTGGGAGAGTGGTGGGCACTCACCCAGGCACAGCACTTCCCATGTACTCCCCTCCATCCCCAGCCTATGGAGGACACTGACATGAAGCCCCTCGGTCTGCACATGGCACCTCTCCCCCTGAAGAACTGAGAAGCTTTGAAGACATTACTCAATTTCAGACCCTGTATGTGCGTTTCTACATCTGCTGTGACCACACGCATTTATTCTCTAACACTTCTGGGATCAGGAGTCTTGCCTAAGTCTCAGGGGCTAACTACAGGTGTGGGCAAGACTGGTCCTTCCTTAGGCTCCAGGAAGAACCATTTCTGGCCTTGTCCAGCTTCTAGAGGTGCCACATCCCTGGCTCATGGCCCCTCCCTCCAGCTTCACAGCCAGCAGCACAGCCTCTTCCATCTCTGACTCAGATGCTCAGACCTCCCTCTTAGGAGGACCCTTGTAATGATAATGCTCCCCCCTCCCTCCCATAATCCAGGATCATCCCCATCTCAGGGCCTTGACTTAATCCTACCTGCAAAGTCCCTTTACAATGTGAGGCAACATGTCCACAGGTCGGGACCTATCACCCATTGCATGTCCATGCTGTCCTCTCCCCCCTGGCCCCCAGACTCCCTGGTCCCTAGCTTCCCTTCTCCTCTTTACCTCAGCACTCCAATGGGTTCCCACTGCTGAGTCTGATAGGCTGTATCCCGACCCAAAATACTCTTCCAAGACCTGGTGACCTTCAGTCTCTAGTCCAGGAGGTGCCTTATGGGGACTCCTCGCACCCTAGCTCATGACTTAACACCTACAGCCCCTACTCAGCTCAGTGTTCACCTGCCTCAGATTCAGACAAGGGTGGGCATGGTGTTCCTGCAGGGTCCCCAGAGCCCTGCAGACAGCAGGCATTCAATGCTTGTGAAAAGAATGAGTGACCAGACATGGTTTGGCCACAGCCTGGGCCTCCTCTGGCCTCTGGCCTCTGGTCCCTGGCCACCTGCCCAGATGTCTTTTGGATCTTGTCTAGCTGTGCCTCATGGCCCCTCAGGGCCTCAGGAGACCATGACGGGCAGGAAATGAGTGGAAAGGTGGTGCCGCCGTGTCCGGCCACCGCGTCGAGGGACCCCCCGCCTGTCCAGCGCCAGGAACATGGGCCGGCCTCGGTGACGCCAGCGAAGCGAGGCGTAGGTGTTGTAGCCGTTCTCCTCAATGCGCTCCTGGAACCTACAGTGAGCAGTGTAGATCCGCTGCGGGGGGTCGGGAACATGAGGCCACTGGACCCCGTTTCCTGCCAGTGCCTGCCCACCACCAGCCACCCCCACCATGCACTCACCGACCCATAGAGGTGGCCCCGGCGGCTCATGGCCACGAAGAAGCCGGTGTGCACAGCCTTGAGGGCCACGACGCCCACGCGGATGGAGCGGATCTCCATGATGCCTGCTGGGAAGGGCTCGGTCAGGGCCCTCAGCCACCGTCTGCTTCCCATGTGCTCCCTCATTCAGTCATTCAAGTGACATTCACCAAGCACCACCTGTGTGCCTGGCCCTGTGCTGGGTATGGGAATACACCGGGGCCTACACGGCCTGACCCCAGGATGTGCCCCTGACACATTGGATGTAAGTGGGGAATAGCCGGGCTTTCCCCAAAGGGTACTGGGGAACCAGAGCAAGCTGTGGAGCAGGGGAGAGTCCTGGTTAGGTCAGGGATGAGAAAACCAAGCCAGAGGAGTTAGGTGCTTGCCTGAGTGAGCTGTTGATTTCAGTAAGAACAAGTATTGAGTGTAGCAGTGACCATGGGCCGTGCAGCTTCCCCCACAGTTCTCATGGCCTTTGCCATGTCCGGCCCTGACAACTCAGCCAGCTGCAGCCACTCGGTTATAGGGAGATGAAACCCCAGAAGGGAGGCACTGCCCAGGCAAAGGCCTGAAGGTGGGACAGGGGTGTTTATAGCACAGTGCATTCAACTTGGTACCTGCTTACACTGTTTGAGTGCCAACTCTATGCCAAGCACTATACCCCACTAAGCCCACACAGCAGTTCTGGGGCCGGGTGTCTTACATAATCTTGGGGGGTAAGGCCAGGTGTGGGCAGGACTGGTCCTTCCTTAGGCCAGAACCATTTCTGGCCTTTTCTAGCTTCTAGAGGCGCCACATCCCTGGCTCATGGCCCCTTCCTCTATATCTTCACAGCCAGCAGCACAGCCTCTTCCATCTCTGACTCTGACCCTCCTGCTTTCCTCTTATGAGGGCCTTTGTGATGATACTGGGTGCTGACTGTGCCCACTTCCCAAGGGGGGAAACAGGCCTGAGAAGGAGCAGAGGCAGCTTCAGGCCCCATCCGTCGGTGGGTGACCCTGGGCGAGCTCTGCCCGGCTCTGAGCCAATGTTTCCTGTCCAGCGAAGCAGGACTTCAGGATGAGCCACACACACCCTCAGCCATGCACTGGGGTCTAATCTGGGCACCTCTTATATGCTGTGCTGGGTATTAGGGACATACTGGTGACCAGAGACGGCTCACCTTCATGGGGTCAAATCTGTGCATGGAGGTCTAATCTGGAGTCAAGGTTTTGCCCTCTAGTTTTCAGTTTGTACTTGGATACCTGAGATAACAAGCTCACCCCACCCCCATGGGGCCTTGCACCTGCTGTTCCCTCAGCCAGGCCCCTGGCTCCTCTTGTGCATGGTCAGCTCCTTTTCTTGATAATAGGCTCAACCAAGCCCACCTCCTTGGAGAGGCCCCCAAGACCTCCCAGATAAAGCAGTCCCCCAGTCACCTCTTGTACATTGCCCTGTTTTCATTTTCTTTGCACCACATGTGGTCCCCTCTGAAATTATATTACATGTTTAACCGCTTTACCCTCTGTTCTGGAACCCCATGAAGGTGAGCTGTCCTGGTCACCCTGTGTCCCTTGTGCCCAGTACAGCATTCAAGAGTTGCCCAATAACCACTGAATTAATGAAGGACAGAAGACCTCCAAGTCCAACCCACACAGAGCCAGCAACCAACCATCTGTCACTCCATCACTGCCCAGATGGGGAAACTGAGGCCCAGATAGAAGCAGCAACTGTCTCAGGTCACGCAGCAGAGCCAGGCCTCAACCCCAGCCTGAGGCCACCCTGCCTGGCTGTGTCCACCACCAGTCAACCGGCCCAGCCAGTCCCCTGTCATTGCCCTGGTCTAGTGACTCTAATGAGGGCCTTGGGAGCCCCAGATGAAAGCAGCTGGGAAGGGCAGGGGTGATTATCTGCCCTAATGGTGGTGATTCAGGCAGTGGCCAGCGATTAGCTTCATTCCCCCAGCCCCCCACCCACCCCCACCCAGGGCTCAGAGTTGTGGGGAGACTGAGGCAGGCCCATGGCATCACCAACCGCCCTGGCCTCCCAACTGTCCCCAACCCCCTTCTCTTGGCCCCTGCATCTCCTCTTGCCTCATACATTCCACAGATACTTATTGAGTGCCTATTGTTTACTGGGTGGGGCAACAGGGACAGTGACTCCAACTCGATGAGGTTCTTGAGCATCAAGGAACCCAGCAACACAACTCTCCTCCCCTCCCCCCCAGCAGCGTGACCCTGGGCAGGTCATCTCCCCTCTCTGGCTCAGTTTCCTAGAAAGAAACAGAGGGGTCCCTCACCCAGGCAGATCCTGAAGTTTGTTTTGCCTTGTGGGAGTCAAGTTCAGAGCCCAGCTGGCCCCACTGCATGATGTAACTTTCTAGAGTCTCAGTTTCCCCTCTACAAAGGGGCCCAGTGACCCCAAACCCAACTATCTGTCAACACCCTTTCTCTGCTAGTGAGCCAGGCCTGGAGCTGGGAGCTTCCTCTGTGACCATTTAGGTTTGGCCGATTTGACTGCGGAGGAAAATGAAGCCAAAAGGGTAAATGACTTGGCCAGTGCCATGCAACCACAGGAGCCCCCAGGACCCCTCCGTCGCGTGAGGGAGGGCCCAGCTCATCGTTAGGATTTCCGCTGCAGTTGTCACTGCCCGCCCATTGGTCCAGAACCTCCCTCCCACCCCTGTCACCCGGCAGCCCCACGCGACTCACTGTCAGGGCTGTGGCACCAGCGGGTGCCTTGCACGAGGCCGCTGGGGTCGACGCGCAGAAAGAAATGGGTGGAGGAGAAAAGGCGCCGCCAGCGCACGTCGCCCTCTAGGTGCGGGTAGCTGCGTGGTCTCCGGGGGCCGCCTGAGGTCCTCGCAGCGCCGGGAGCCCGTGCCAGCAGCAGCCATGCCAGGCCCAGCCACAGGCGGCAGCGCATGGCCTCGCCGCCCGCTCTCCGCCCGCTTTTGCCTCCCGGAGCAAGTCCGCGGCTCTGCCATTGCCGAGTCAGGGGCGGAGAGTCCGAAAGGGGCCGCCCCGGCTGGGCCAATGGGGAGCCTCCGGGCTGGGCACCAGGCGGGGCACCTGGAGCGGCGCCAGGACGCAGTGGGCGAGGGGCGGGGGCGGTCCATTTAGGAAAACCTGCTGGGGCCTCGGCGTGTGTTTGTCTTGCGCTGTGGGGAGGGTGGTGCGTGTCTGTGAATCACCGGGCTGGCCTGCAAGGGCTGCGGGGTGTGAGTGTGAGACAGGCAGGGCCCAGAGACAGAGAGATAGACAGAGACAGAGAGATAGATAGAGACAGAAATAGAGAGGCAAACACAGAGATAAGAGACTGAAGGACAGAGACAAGGACTTGAGGCAGAGACGGTGAGAATGAGGCAGAGAAAGACCCGAGAGACATGGAAATACGAAGACTGAGAGGCAAAGCGACTAAGATGCAGAGCTCCAACGGGAAACAGACTAAGCTGGAGAGATGGAGAGTATGAGACACAGGGGAAGATGGTTAAAAGAGACAGAGAGACAGATATAGGAGAGGCAGAGGGTAAGTCGGGCAGAGAGACAAGAAGTGGGGTTGATTAGGGGTCAGAGATTGGGTGGGAAGGTCTGGCCTGAGTGTTGTCTGTGGCGCCAGGCCTCCGGACTGAGCATGTTCAGACGGAACTTGTCTGCCCTCCAAACTGGAGCTTCCTGAGAGCCAGGCCTCTGGGCAGGAGGCTTTGCTGAGGGGTGGGCATGGGGGTGGGCTGCACACAGGCATTTGAGCAGGTGGGTGGATGGGGTATTGTTGGGGGGGGGACTCATGGACATGTCTGTGGCCAGTGGATGGTGACCGAGGCCAGCACCGCATCCCCAGCGTCTGGAGCTGCATGTCCTGAGCATTAGGAGTGGGGTGGCGCCGTTTATTCCCACATCTGCACATCATTTACGAGACGTCCAAGCCCCACTGGGAGCCATCCTGGGCCCTTGGTCCTGTGTGGTGAATACAATGAACCTCACAGACTCAAGCCAAGAGGCGCCATTGATAGGTGGGGAAACTGAGGCCCGGGAGGGGCAGCGCCTTCCCCACAGCCCCTCAGAGGACGCATCCCAGGGTTCCAATCCTTGACCCTCTTCTCCCACCAGCCCAGTCCTATAGCTATAGCCCCAGATGGCACCTTTAAATAGCATGGGGGTGAAGAAAAGGTGACAAGCCCACCCTACTGGAACGCTGGAGGAGTAACTGATCCAGCTGGAAGCTGAGTCGTCTTCCTGGAGGCTCTGGGGGATTCCATGATCCCTCTTCCTGGCCCCAGGAGGGCCACACAGGGGCTGCCCAGGCCCCAGGACTCCAGATGGGGGAGGCTGTCCCTATGGCCTGGTCCATTCAGCCTGTCTCGTCACACTGGGGGCCCTGGGGCCAGCACCTGAGGCTCCTGCATGCGTTCAGCACGTCCCCAAGCATCCGTTCCTTCTCTGTAAAATGTGCCAGAAAAGGAAAGGCTAGAAGGATGGAATGAGATATTCTACACCTTGTTGGGCAGAGGCACAGCACACAGGCTCAGAATAACGTTCCCCACTTGCCAGCCAGCCAGAAACTTGGTCTTCGCTTCCTCGAGTGTTTCCAACCCCCTCCCCAGGAAGATAATTAGGGGGGCCTTGTGTGACGGATGGGACCACCCCTGGGAAGCTGGCCCTGCCCCAAGTGTCGCTGGAGTTTAATGACAGTTCCATTAAAATATAATTCACATACCACACAGTGTTTGCAGTACAGGCAGAGTTTTCAACCACCTCTATCTAGTTCCAGAACATTCTGTCACCCCAAAATGAAACTGCTTCCCCTTTAGCACCTACTCCCCACCGCTTTCCCCAGCCCCCGGCACCCACTAACCCACTTTCTGCCTATGGACTTGCCTGTTCTGGATATTTCACGTGAATGGAATCACTCTGCGTGGCCTCTAGTGTCTGGCTTCTCTCACGGAGTCTTACGTGTCTAAGGCCCATCCACGTTGTAGCATGGGTCGCGCTTCATTCCTGTTCACAGCGGACTAATAATATTTCAGCGTGTGGATGGGCCACATTGTGTTCAGCTATTTACCCATGGATGGGCACTTGCCTGTGTCGACCTTTTGGCTGCTATATATCATTGCTGCTGTGGACATCAGTGCATGAGGGTTTCAGTTACTCCATATCTCACCAGCACTTGCGATTGTCTGTCATTTTGATTATAGCCACCTTAGTGGGTAAAGCACAATACATGCTCTGTTCCTGGAGTCCCCAATTATATATCTTCTTTTTTGCTCTCCATCAGCAGCAGAATGGGTTAATAGACTGTAGCAAATGCACACAAGAGAGTACAGTGCCGCCGTGAAAGGAATAACCTCCCGAAACACACAACATGGAGGACTCTCAGGCATCATATTAAGTAGAAGCAGCCGGGCACAAAAGAGGTCCATTTCTGTGACAGTCTAAAACAGGAAAGTCAATATATGGTGTGAGGCATAAGGATAGGGGTGTGTCACCCGCAGGGGCAGTGACAGGGTGGGGCATGAGGGGATTTGGGAAGCTCAAAAAAATGCACACATGTAATGTCTAAAGGCTCAGTTCTTTGTCATAACCACGCTGCAATCTAATTCACCATCCATGCTCAAATGCCCCCTACTGTTCCCATAGTGTCCTTGAATAGCTTTTTTTCTGTTCCCAAACCATGAAGTACATTCATTTCTCTAGTCTCTGGGATTGGCTGAATAATAGCTCCCAAAGATATGTTCACATTCTTCTTTTTAATTTTTAAAAAATATTTTTAAATTGATTTCAGAGAGGAAGGGAGAGGGAGAGACAGAAACATCAATGATGAGAGAGAATCATTGATCGGCTGCCTCCTGCACACCCCACACTGGGGATCCAACCCGGAAACCAGGGCATGTGCCCTCGACCGGGACCCTTCAGTCCGCAGGCCGAAACTCTATTCCAGCGGTTCTCAACCTGTGGGCCGTGACCCCTTTGGCGGTCCAACGACCCTTTCACCGGGGTCACCTAAGACCATCCTGCATATCAGATATTTACATTACAATTCATAACAGCAGCAACATTACAGTTGTGAAATAACAACGAAAATAATTTTATGGTTGGGTCACAACATGAGGAACTGTATTTAAAGGGCCAGAAGGTTGAGAACCACTGCCATTGAACCAAACCAGCTACACTTGGGCTGTTTCTAGATGTTAGCTATTGTAAATTGTGCTGCTATGAACATAGGGGTGCATACATTCTTTCTGATTGGTGTTTTGGGTTTCTTAGGATATATTCCTAGAAGTTGGATCACTGGGTCAAATGGCAGTTCCATATTTAATTTTTGGAGGAAACTCCATACCGTTTTTCATAATGGTTGCACCAGTCTGCATTCCCACCAGCAGTGTACTAGAGTTCCCTTTTCTCCACATCCTCTCCAGCACTTGTCATTTGTTGATTTGTTGATGATAGCCATTTGGACAGGTGTGAGGTGATATGGTCATTTTAATTTGCACCTCTCTGATGATCAGTGACTTTGAGCATTGGCCATCTGTATGTCCTCTTTTTTTTTTTTTTAAAGCCCACAGCAAAAGAGGTCAGCTTTTATTGTATGTGTTACAAAAGAGCTAGTTTAGTCAAAAAGACCGAAGTCCATGTCATCATCAGACTCCTCAGATTCTTCTTTCTTTGCTTCCACTTTCTCCTCAGCTGGGGCAGCAGCAGTGGAGGGGGCAGGACCTCCTGCTGCTGCAGCACTGGCTGCAGGGGCAGGTCCACCAGCCCCTACATTGCAGATGAGACTCCCAGCGTTGACATTGGCCAGAGCCTTTGCAAACAAGCCTGCCCAGAAAGGTTCACCATTTACAGCAGCTGCTTTAATGAGGGCGTTGATCCTATCCTCCGTCACCGTCACTTCATCCACTTTATCGTCCGTTGAGCAGGATAAAGGCCGAGTAGATGCAGGCGAGCTCTGAGACTGAGGCCATGGCGAGGGTGAGTG